CTGCTGCTCACTCAGAACTTGAAGAATTCAGAGGAAAATTGCTTGTGTCGGGTGGTAGAACACCCCTCTGGGGCCCACATCACACCCCTGGCTTACCTCTGAGACAGTTCTGACTTACTTCCATGTCCTGGGTATTTCTGCACTCTGCTTATTTTTATAAAATTTTATTGTTATAAAATATATATATAATTTATTGATTTCAGAGAGGAAGGAAGAAAGGTAGAGAGATAGAAACAGCAATGATGAGAGCCTCCTGCACGCCCCCCACTGGGGATCGAGCCCGCAACCCCAGGCATGGGGCCTTGACCGGAATCGAACCTGGGACCCTTCAGTCTGCAGGCCGACACTCTATCTACTGACCCAAACCGGCTAGGGCTGCACTCTGCTTTCTTTGACTCCACTGAAGCTCCCTGAAACTCAAGGGAGCTTGCCTCTCCCCATCGGAGAAACCCTCATCCAACAGAGAAGGGAAGCCAGTGGGTAAACACTCCAGCCTCCTAGCTTCCTGGTGGGTTGCTATGGAAGGCATTTAGCACCTCTTTCAGTGGTCCTCACAGAAGTGAGCCCTTGTTGCCAACAACTTTGATAAAATACCCTTTGCCTTGTCCTCCTGCCCTGTCTTTGTTGAGGTGTCTGTTCAGATCTTTTGCCCATTTTTAAAACTGGGTTGTTTTCTTAATTGTTGAGTTTTAAGAGTTCCTTGTGTAATTTGGGTAACAGGCCTTCTTTATCAGATGTTTTTTGCAAATATTTTCTCTTAGTCACTAGCTTGTTTTCTCATCCCCTTGATTAAAGTAATCTTTTTTAAAAAATATATTTTATTGGGTTTTTTTTTACAGAGAGGAAGGGAGAGGGATAGAGAAACATTGATCAGCTGCCTCCTGCACACCCCCTACTGGGGGTGTGCCCGCAACCGATGCCCTTGACTGGAATCGAACCTGGGACCCTTCAGTCGCAGGCCGACGCTCTATCCACTGAGCCAAACTGGTCAGAGGAACAACTTAAGGTAATTTAAATGTATAACATGAAGTGATATTTAATAATAATCAGGGTTTATTCTATGTGTATGGTACCTAATATTACTTAATGTATTTCTCTTAAGCTAGAAGTACTTCTATGCTATAATTTATCTTTTATTTTTTTGCTATGCTATTGTTTAGTGTAACATTACTATAGTCTCTTTTGATTTTTAAGTTATGTATAGTCATAGGCCACAGAAATAAATTATATAATTTTACTATATGAAATTAATATATATAATTTTTAAGGAGTAATATATAATAAAATTGCCTCAAACAATAAATTAAATATTAAAACCATGTTAAAGACAAATGCACTTTCACAATGGCAACTAAATTGTTTAACAGAATGCTGGCCCCACTGGGTGAAAGAGATATACAGCAACACCATGCTGTAAACGTTGTTTTAAAAACATGCATTGTGTTGTTCACATTTAATTTATATAGTTATATGCCACTAAGTAAGGAAAAAGTATATTTAATTGAAACAAGCAATAAATATTTACTTAGTATAAAGTTTATTCACATGTTTAAAAAGTGTCTGTAATAGAAAATCCATTAAAACCAAAACATAATCAAGGCTGTGGGGAAAATGTACATTAAAAAAATGGATTTCTTTTTCCAGATAATGAAAATACTGATACATTTGTACTGTATTGTCTTAAGTTCTTAACCTGATAGGAAAACATTTTAAACAACAAAAAATGGTGGAGAAATCACACAGTACAGAAGATTGAAGGCATCAATATGACATATATGTTCCAAAATGTCATACTGGCAATCTACAAAAGAATCTACTTTAAAAAAATACAGAAATTCTAGACACTCTTTTAATAGCATAAGCACTATATGCAACATTCCAAATCAAATAACAATTAATTCACATTCAATTAGAACAAAAACAATATGAATGATATGAAATTGAGCTTTTGAACAGCACTAACAAACATTTTCTTGTTAAAGATTCTCTTCTACATACTGGAAAAGTGTACACACAGAAAGTATCTGATAAATAGAAAAAAAATGATTAGAATTATACAGGCAAAGGGGAAACCAAAGACATCGAGGACACTTTTGTTCTACTTCTTAATTGTTCTGAGAGTTTTCAACCACCCTGTTTTTACACAGAGGGAGTATTATTAACAGATGCAAAACTTTCACATTATTTTGTGCTCTCTTTTTTTCATTTTGAAAGAACATTCCATGTAGAATTATCTATCTACTGAAGGTATAACATTATAAATGTGTATTTCTCTTTTTCTAGTCCAATTTCCTTTTTTTAAAAAAATATATTTTATTAATTTTTTACAGAGAGGAAGGGAGAGGGATAGAGATTTAGAAACATCGATGAGAGAGAAGCATTGATCAGCTGCCTCCTGCACACCCCTTACTGGGGATGTGCCTGCAACCAAGGTACATGCCCTTGACCGGAATCCAACTCGGGACTCTTCAGTCCCCAGACGGACGCTCTATCCAGTGAGCCAAACCAGCTAGGGCCAATTTCCTTTTTTATACCCATATTCCATTCATTTCCTGATTTTAATAGAAGGGAAAACACCTAATTCAACATAAAACTTTGTGTCAAAGTAGATTTAATGGTTAACCCTAATCAGTTACCTAGGGAAGAAGCACAAACAAAAAAATCCACCCAAAATACAATAGGAATAGGAAAGGGTGGATATATGTCAGAAATATGTCAATAATTTTACATTGAGATATTTTCCTTTCAAATATTATAAGCATTTGTCAATTGTGGCCGACGCTCTATCCACTGAGCCAAACCAGCTAGGGCACATATACTAGTATATACTTTTATATATAGGTTCATATATTACATATGACAAATGCTTATAAATTCCTCATGTAGATTTAGAATTAAGCAACAACATCCCTGGATTTCATAATTTGAGACAGTCTAATTCTATAGTTACAAGTTGGGCCTAGAAAGTGTGCTTGCTCATTATAAACCTAGCTCTCACCAATATGTTAGATTTTGGGCAAGTTAGCCTATGCCTTAGTCTGACTGTTACAGAGTGAGCAAAGTAGAGTTTGCCTCTGACCTGTTAAAGTAAGTGCAAAGTGCAAAGTTACATGAGAAAAAGTGCTTACTTGTAAAAGCCAAGTTATGACTAACAGTTAAATTTTTATAGGTTATATAGGAGGCTCTGTAAGGACCATTTTTCCTAATTATATGTAAATGTCACTAGATTATTTCTTTGTGACAGACAAGCAAACAAAGAGACACAAGAATCTAAAAAGGATAATGCCTTTAGTAGTCTGTAATGGTGAAGGTATTGCTTTTATGTGACTTAAGATCATGCTGTCTTAAAGGAGAGACACATACACATATGGTAACATGACTTATACTTTCTAAATATTCAATTTGGAAGGAATTATCAGTCATGTGAGTTTAAGTCTCACCTCTGTAAAAATTATAAAACAAAATACAATTTTACAAATGAGCTTTAATAGAAAAATGCAATGCCTGGTAAAAACATAAAGAACAGAATTTTCTATTTCTCAGGAGTATGTTATATTTCTTTTCTTTGTCTTTCTTTTGTGTGTGTGTGATTCTGGATCTCTTTATTACATGTAATAGTTGTATTTCTTGAGCTCCTGCAAGGAGGAAACAAATGACACATACATACACATCCACCAACATAAATTTGTGCACACTCATTCACTCTAGAGGTCACTAGTAGCCCTACCCATGAATCCATGCGCAAGTAGCTCCCTGCCACTTGCCTCAGCTGGCCATGCTGCCCACTGCCACTGGTAGCTCTCCACTGCTGGTAGCTCGTTGCCCCGCCCTCCGCCCTCCTGTAGCTCTCCGCGGCTCATAGCTTACCCGCTTGTAGCTCGCCGCTTGTAGATTGGTCATGATGTTATGGTGTCCTGGCTAATTTGCATATTCCTCTATTATTACATTAGATACTCTACTACATTATTTTTTGTTTGTTAACCCTCACCCAAGGATATTTTTCTATTGAATTTTAGAGAGTGGGAGCAGGAAAGACAGAAACATCAATGTGAAAGAGACACATCAATTCGTTGCCTCCTGCACACCCCCCAACCATGGCCAGGGATTGAGCCTGCAAAATAGCCGAACGGGCCGGATCCGGCCCGCGGGCCGTAGTTTGCCCATGGCTGGGCTAGCGCAACTCTACTACATCCTTAAGGAGAGACTGGTCACAAATACAATTAGAAGGAGAGATAAAATATAAGTTAAAATGGTTACTGATGGTGTTTTGTGTCCAGACATTAAGAGATACAAAGGGTTGCTGGTAACTTTAACCAATATTATATTTTAATTGCAGAAAAGTAAATTACTTTTTCTAGGTTCTGAAGCTATTTAGAAAAATCACATTTTCAAAATAAATAATTATATAGTTATATATAGATAATCTTATATAATAAAAGCGTAGTATGCAAATTGTCCCCTTGACTGGAGTTATTCCGGGAGTTCGACCAGAGGGCAGGCCAGCCAGGGGAAGGGAAGGACGCCCCAGCCGGCAGCTGCTAGGGACCCTACCAGTGCACAATTTTCGTGCACCCGGCCTCTAGTTAAACAATAAAATAGGTGCATCTACTTAGTAATTTGGGTAACTTTATCAAATTCTAGCCACTCCTAGATTTGAGGCCTGTTTATTTATTTGTTAGTGTAACACTCTTGAAAATCCTTGTTATTACAATCCTCTAAAGATCTAACTCCTTAGCAAGTGTGTTGTTGTTTTTTAGAGAAAATTACTGATCCCACTCCTCATAATGAAACATGACTGATAGCAAGAATTAACAACTAAAACCGGCAATATATGGTGAATGCCGTTTTATAATTTAAAATATAAAACCAAGTGATTATATTAAGGCCACCAATTTATAATGAAGTATCAAATTCTTTGAAGTTTTGCAACCAATAAGAAAACCTAATAAAGAGTGGGCCCGATGTTATAATGGGATAATCTAATGGTTACAAATTCTTACTTTTAAAATATTCAACACAAAAAATCTACAACCTTTATCTACCACAAAGGATACAGATATTTCATCAGTTCTACTTATGACACCCATACTACAGATTTTTTTTTTAACCATTAAAATAAATAAGAAAAAAGTGCTCTCTTCTTAACTGCAAAGATATGGAGTCCAAGCTTCTTATCAGGTTGATAATGATCAAGTTCAGGTTTAAGATGCCGCCAGAACTGCTGTGGTGTAGTACTCATGCTTATTCCTCCTTTACTTCTTGCAGTTTGTCATAAAGGGCTAAACTGATGCGTCTTTATGGTTCGGGAAAAATGAACCATTCAAATAATACGAATCTCCTCTACCACCAAGATGGCAAGGTGAGCTTAGTGAGATGGGAGTGACAGAGACTTTTTAAATACCCTAAACCCTTTTGTTGACCCAGGATAAGGCGGTGGTGGTGAAATACTGTGTTTTCTGGTCAGTGCGACTGCCTGTTCATAAGAAGGTAATTCTGTGTCCTCCAGTGGAGGTGGTGATGGAAACAAGACAGCATCCTCAGGTCTTCTGAAAATGATGGAGGGAGTCTGCCTTCCTCTTCTCACGGAGGTGGCTGAAGAACTAAACAGAGATACAGCATTTATGTCTAGAAAAGGCAGCAGTTTTAGTTTAAGGTGGCAACATTTAAAAATCCAACCGACTAATTTTATAAAAGTTGAACCTAATTTATTAATATAACAACAGGTTTCTAACAACAGAAAGAGTCTTTCTTGGTCTAGTGGAAAGATCAAGAGCTTTAAAGTCAGACATGGGTATGAAGCTGGATCCTGTCCTTTGTTAGTCATGTGACCAAAGGCAAGTTAACCTAACTCTGTAAAGGGGGAATAATAATAGCTACCTCTACACAAGGATTCAAAATATGCTACTTTCCCTGGATGAAAACTTTCTCAAAGTATGGCGTGAAACCAAACCCAGGTTTTGTTGAAAGGCAGCTCAACGCCAAGTCAAGGAAACCAATGCCACCGATAATCACAGCAGCTGATGTCCGTCTCTCTCCTTTGTCCCCCTCCCGAAGTCCTGCTGCCTGATGCGTAGGTCCCTTCTAAACAGTTCCTTCATCGCATCACTCTTCTCTGCAAAAGTCTAACCTGCAGCGTTCTTCCCATTGAATCGAGTTCTAACTCCTGTACCTCCTTTTCAAAGCCTCCCTTATTCCAGCCTCACCCTGCTTTTTATAGCTCTCTGCTCTTGCCAAGGTAGCCTCTTTAACACTCCTCAGTCTGTGCAATGAACTCTGTGCTTCCACTGGTATGGTTCCCTTCCTCACACTCTGTCTTTTTCCCACTCCATTGATCTAAGCCCAGCAATGAAAAAAGTATATATATATGGCCTAGTTCTAGTCCCACCATTTTCACAAAACTTTGTCAGCTACACCAGCCAATGAAAATTGAAATGCAATATGGGTCTGATGTTTTAAACCTACCTCTTCCTTCCTCACTTGTTAATTACAAAATGATAATTGAAACATTAGTAAATTGATCTGTTTAGGCTATGAAGCTGGCTCATCTATGCATAAATTAACCTCCTACAGTTATGGCTAACAAGATAATTCATAGGTAATCCCCAACCTCTAGTCAATATTTACAACATCCTTCCAAACAAGAGACAGTTTAGCAGACTCAAAATTCTGTAAACTTTTCCAAACTAAGTAAGTCCATTTGCACCTTAAAACACCCTTTCCTTCAGAGGTAATAATGAGATCTGAAATTGGAGGGAAGGAGAGAAGAAAAAGATCTGTGTAAATCTAGGAACTGGATAATCAGCCCATCAATAATTGAGAGGTGACCGAGATCATTACACGTTTGCTTAGAGGGCCGAACACAATTCCTCCTCTGTCAGAAATCTGGAATGTTCTCATGGTAGGCTAGTCACTTGCCACATTCACTAGCCTGTAACAAAAAGTTCTATCTGTTTGCTTATAGGGAACAGATGCTTTATTTGAACAAATAAATCTTTCCATGTCAACTTTCAAAGCTTGAGATATAGAAAAAATATAATAACTGCATCAAAGCCATTAAATATCTACACAGCTATTTCTTACATATACCTTAGATGAGTGAAACCAGAAAGTGTGCACCAATAACATCTCAAATAAATGGACATCATATTACACCTATTTTACTCCATAAAATAAGAAACTAATAAATGAAACGATCTTGTTTCTAATTTCTTGGCATGTTTTTACAGAAGAATGAGACAAACTTTTCTGACAATGGTCTTATTTTTCACTCTTTTTCAAATATTTCCTCACCCCCCATTTCAGACTTGCAAAATATAGAAAGAAAACAAATAACTCTGCTGGAAGAATTTCTTAGGACAATAGATGATATGTACTTTAGTAAGTATCTAAAAGCTAATCCCAACAAAGGAGAATATATGGTAAACCTAGTTTGAAATGTCCCCTAAAATACAAAGGGTCGCTGTGAGGGTTAAAGTGAGACAATAGATGTAAAAATGATCTGTGAACTGTACAGCACTATATTGTACTAACATTATGTATAACTATTTTTTTAAAAAAGCTGACATTTGTGAACCTTCTTGTATTCTTTTGAAGGACCAGCGTTATTTTTAATTTTAATACTTGGAAATACTTTCTGTCTGTATAAAAGTCATACAGCATAAAAGAGAGTGGCTTAAGAAAAATGAAACCAATTCTCCTTACTTTCTCTCACTTCTCAGATTTCTGCAGGATTTACAGAAGTCTGACACACTCCTTAGTCCATGCCCACAGGTCAGATGAATGCCTCAGGGACCTTTTTGGGAATTCCCGTTTGGGGACAGAATTACAATTTATGTTGCCCCTGTCCTCTGCCCTCTTTGCTGGCATGTCTCCTGTATGCACCCTTTCTGTGGGCATCCTTACAGGCTCAGTCCTTTGCCTTCTGTTCTTCCATCTCACTCAGAACTTGCCTATTCTCATGGCTTCAGCTTTTATCCTCCAACAGATGAATCCTAATTCTATATTGTTGCCCTAAACTCTGACCTTAACAATACAGAAAAAAAATTTATTGTGATAAAATATATATAACTTAAAATTTGCTATATTAGCCATTTCTACGTATACAATTCAGCAGTATTGCTTATATTCACAACGTTCTGTAATCATCACCATTATCTAATATCTATAACCTTTTCATCACCTGGTCACCATCATGCACTTGTCCACTTAATTTGAAAGTGTAAATAGGAATATATAAGCCCCAATTTTGAACAGTCTGTTTAGTATCTGGTGCTTTTAAAAATAACATTATTCTATGCTTACTCATCTATATTTATTGAGAAGGTAATACAGAAGCTAATAACTTTTTATTCCTATAAGTACATTGAGGTTCTATTATGTAAACAAGTACTGCTTTTATGAATATTCATGAAACGTTATTGTGCTATTATCTTCAAGTGGCTAACCATTTTATTTTATTAATTTTTATTTGATTTAAAGTATCAGTAAAAATAACTGAATTTAAAAGCTATTCTTTTTCTATTTGGGTAGCCACACGGCTAGATCTGACATCACCGGGACTCAGACTAAATTATGGGACTTCTTGCCTCTGGAAAGGATGTGGGGACACTGGTATCTGCCTCCTGCTCAAGAAGGAAACATCGCCCTGCCCGTAGCATGGTTCAGTGGTTGAACATCAACCTATAGAGGTCAGGGTTTGACTCGTGGTCAGGGCACATGCCCAGGTTGCAAGCTCGATCCCCACCCAGTGTGGGGCGTGCAAGAGGCAATCGATCAGTAATTCTCTCATTGATGTTTCTATCTCTGTCTTCCTCTCTAAAATCAATTACAATTTTTTTTTAAAAAAGAAGGAAACATTGAAAATTCAATCTGATATTTGGGAATCTGCTTGTATTCTTTTGAAGGACCTTAGAAACAGCATTTTGAAGTTTTTTATTTGTTTTAAATTAGGCAACCAAACAACTATCATATACCAGAGGAGACTGGGGACACATGACAACTAAATGCAATGTACTATCTTGATTGGCTCCTAGAGCAGGAGGAGGACAATCATGTAAAAATTGGTGAAATCTAAATGAGGTCTGGAATTTAGTTAATATTAATGTACCAATGTTGTTTTTTTAAACTTTTGTTTATTTTAGTTTGTTAATCCTCACCCAAGGATATTGTTCCATTGATCTTTTAGAGAGAGTGGAATAGAAAAGGAAAAACAGAGAGAAACATCGAAGTGAGAGAAGCACATTGATTAGTTGCCTCCTGCACATGCCGTAACCCGGGCCCAGGCCAGGGAGGAACCAGCATCCGATGTACGTGTCCTTGACCAGAATTACACCTGGGATCCTTTGGTCTGCAGGCCGATGCTCTATCCACTGAGCCAAGCCGGCCAGGGCCCAATGTGGTTTTATAAATGTACTATGATAACATAAACTGTTAATGAGAGGAACTGGGTGAAAGATATAGGGTACTCCTTTGAACTATCTTTATCACTCTCCTGTATATCTAAAATTATTCCAAAATAAAAAGTTTATTTAAAAAACAGGCAGCCATTTTAAATCCACTTAAAAAATAACAGTACAGAATGTGTAATAGTGAATTAAATATTTTCATTTGGTACTTACCCTGGATGTCCTTGCCGGTTACACTTAGTGATACAAAGATAGTAACCAAGTAATCCAAAAATAACCAAAAATACTCCAGCAGCAATGAGTCCAGTCAGAAGGCCCAAAACGTCAATTTTCTCTCTGTTTCCACCTTAAGAAAAATCATTAAAATAACGTAAATATAACTGAAAAGCCCTACCTGTGATTTCCATAAATTTAACCCTGGGTCTAAGCACAATATTAAGCATCAAATAATTAATATTAATTTTAAAAAAATCTTTGTGCTAAACATATGACCTAAAGAATTTTAAACAGCCCTAACCGGTTTGGCTCAATGGACAGAGCGTCGGCCTGCAGACTCAAAGGTCCCAGGTTCGATTCCAATCAAGGGCATGCATGTACCTTGGCTGCGGGCACACACCCAGTAGGGAGCGTGCAGGAGGCAGCTGATCGATGTTTCTCTCTATCCCTCTCCCTTCCTCTCTGTAAAAAATCAATAAAATATATTTTAAAAAATAATAATTTGAAACACTTCCTGAAAGCCCTAGTTATGGTTTTGTTTCTTTTAAATAAGTCATATTAAATGAATAATATTCAAGACTAAGCGGGATAAACTTAAACTTTGTTCCACTAGGCACACTTTGATAGTAACTACTAAGATAAATGTATTGAGCAACTCCAGTGTAGCTGTGTAATATAATCTCCCTATAAGCTTGGGCCCCACACAAGAGGAATGAAAGAACAGCTGGCAAAAAACCTACCTAAAAGTCAATTAGAGGTGATCAATATATATAAAAGACAGGATGGTCCCTCTCTAGAAGTTACTTCATATTACCTAACAATCTTAACTTACCTAGTAACATATGATTTCCATTCACTTGTAATGGTAAAAAAAAAAAAAAAAAAAAAAGACAAAACAAAACAGTTTACTACTTTAAAGCAATGGAGTACAACTTTTCTGTGCAAGTCTTGACTTAGCTGAGCTGTTTAAAGCAGCTTTAAACCTATTATCTCATTTCCCGAGTATCTCACCAAACTTGATTTTCATTGTATAAATAGATGAATGGGGCCTTTTCTATTAGCCCCAGTGTATAATGGAGAAAATTTCCTTGAATTTACAAGGTAAGCATGTTGAGCAACAACCAAACTCAAATAATGAAACTAAATGTATTATAAAAGAAAGGGTGTGGGAAAAACATTATTTAATCAATTCTTGTCTTACCTGATATTGCGGTTGGTCCTTTAATTGAATAGTCCTGCCAAAATGCCAGCTAAGAGAAAGATAAATTTTCCAAGTTAATTTCATTTCATTGTCATTTCATTTAGTCCCAATGACCTAGACTAAGGGTGGTAAATTTTTGGCAGGTACCACAGGTAAGATACCAGTTCATTCAAGCTAAAGGGTGTGACTCACTTTAATTAAAGCACTACCATGCACTACTGTTTCTCCCAACTCTGGAATGGTCAGGGGATTATTGCCAGTGCCACCTCTCTACCACTGTACCCTGCTATTCTCCCTTCACGTGCCCAGAGCTCCCACACAGGCATCAGGGAAACGACTGCATTGCAGAGTTGGTGCAAGTGCCAAAGGTAGAAGCTGAGGCAGGAGACTAATTTTTGAAAAGGAGTCTGAATTTTTCTATGCTAAGTGGGACCTCGGTTTGCTAGATTTCATTGAAAGGTATTTATTGATTTAGAAAGACATCCCCAAGGCTGTTTAAGTTCAGTGTTACTTGAGAGAATGGGAGAGATTTTAAGGAACCATGATAAAATTATAAAACGGGTTTGTGAAAAACAGAAGAAAATCTCAACAGGCACCCTTACAAAGTGTAGACTTTGTTTTCCTTCTCTAACACAAGCAGCGGATGTTAGCGCGGAGGCTGGGCACAGTTTTGGGGGGAAAAGAACTACGTTCCATTAAAACCTGCATTTGAAGGATACCAAGCGAGGTTCTTACTGACCAAAGAGTAAAATGGCACTTTTGAGGAAGGGAAAAAGGAGCTGGGGTTATTTAATCTACAAAAGTAAAGAATTTGGGTCATTTAACATTCTTCAAGAATATGCCAGATTATAACAAGGCCAGTGCTGTCTCTGTTTTGTGCCTTTACAAAATGAACAGACGGGATTTCATTATGTTTTAAGGGAGAATGTCTCAAAGTCTCTCCCTTACATTTACAGTGATGCCACACAACCGACTCCTGAGTGCGGGGACTGTATATTTTGTATCTTCAGGCTCTAGCAGAGCACTTGGCACAGAGCAGATTGCCAATACCTGAACTATAAATACAGTCATCCAAAAGGTGAGGCCACCGTCCGAAAACACTGCTCAGAGTCTTGGGTTAAAGCCTGTGTCAGAGAACTAACTCAACTTATATCCTGAAGTTTAGTTCACTGCTTCATGATTGTTTTTGAAGATAATAAACATTAAGCACACAGAATTACAGCATAACCAATCATTTGCTGATTACTATAAGCCCAGTTAATTAAGTATAAAGCCAAGTCTAAAGTAAAGGCTAATTCGCTTTTTAAGAAAGTAGAAAAGAGATGACAGAGATAGAATCCTAATTGTATTTAAAGCATTAAATATCTAATGACTGCAAGGGCCATTTTCTTAGGTACAAGTTAGTAAATTTCCAGACAGTTAACATCATTAACCAAATTACCGTTTTATCTTCATCCACAAAAATCTCTCTGGCTTCCTCATAATTGCAGAGCTCTTCGATGCACTCTCTTTCTAGGTCACCTGGAGTGAAGAGCTCCAAATCAAATCTATTATATAGCAGGTGTCTATGAATGAAAGAGTTGGCTTCTTCTTTTGATGTAAATACTAATGAAGAAATAGAAAGATGTCAAATACTGATAACAATAAGAAAGAAAATTCCTATTTAAATTGTGAAAAGAGTGAAGAATTCTCTTGATGTAGTTAAGTTACACCAAAGTTTCTTGTGTGGTTTTCAAAGCTGACAAAAATATCAGTAAAAATAATTCTATCAGTTGAAGCATTTCATAGATATAGTCTAGTGTTACTCAGCTTGACATGGGTTTAAAATACTAAACCAATAATGCAGTACCTCAAAACCTGCCTAACTTAACTATAACTACATGAAATCTAATTTCAGAAAGGAGAATATTAGAAATCTGCTTCTGTATTGCTACTTCTCAGATTCGCCCAGATCTTCACATTTTATTGACTAGAAAGCGGTGCCAAATTTCTCATTGTCGGTCTTCTGTTCGAAAAGGTTATCTCAGTTATAAAAATATCCCTACCCTCCTGCATGGCGCTCAATAAGGCTACTTTCAACTTGAAAGGAATACAAAAGAGAGAGGCGTAAACGTGTTTTATTGTTTCTGAAGTGAAGTTTATGCCAGTACAAACCCTCACCCAGAGGCTGTTTGCCACTTCCCTGGGTGTGAAAGTTCCAATTCGGTCAGTGCCTTATCAAACTTTTCCCTGCCTCCCTCACAGTCTTAGGAGAAATGCTGCTTTTTATTGTTTGGGTTCTAAGTAACCCTGAAAGTGCTTATAATCGAAAGAAGCAAACTTCCTTGCTCTGGATCATCCTGAACTTCCGCGAGAGATTCTATTTTCCCTCTGGTCTTTGCACTTTGGATCTGCCTCCTCAGATTCTCTATCCATCTCCATTTCTCCTGCCTTAGACCATTCAAAGAGGCCCTCTGTGCGTTTCAGACCCACCAGTCCAAATATTTCATTCTCGTGCTCTCTCCCGTCTCCCCATGTTTTTAAAATAAATTCCTTGTAAGTCACTGGCCTTTATCAGAATTTAGCTGTAGGTTTTCCTAGTTACTTTTCATATTTCCATTTATTATATACCTTTTCATATATCTTATTTGCATATAGAGAGGACTGGCTTCTGTGCCATACAACTCTAAGACAGGGTTACTGCTACACACGTTCCTCTACTCTGCAGGTAATTTGCATATAGAGAGCACTGGCTTCTGTGCCATACAACTCTAAGACAGAGTTACTGCTACACACGTTCCTCTACTCTGCAGGTCTCTGTTACTACCTCCTGAGTTTATGGACACTTCCTGTTTACACCCTGCCTCCCAGATCAATGAAGAGGCCCTCCAGGGCAAGGATTACAGCCTTTCATTTCTACATCGCCAGTACACAGCATAGGGCCTGGCGCAGAGTCTGTGTTAACAAAATGGTTAATAACTGAACAAGCTGGCTTTTTAAACATAGAGGATTCCTCTTTTACATTTCCCACAGATATTGCCAGCCTTTTGCACTCAAGTATGATCTCTAAATTCCTTCCAGAGTTTGTGATACTATTTCTGAGAGTGTCTTTTTGTCTGTTCCTGTGTGCATAGATGAATACATTCATTCACAAGGATTCTGGGGATCAGCATCTGGTCCCACTGAGAATGGATCATCAACCACATATATGAGTGAACTTACATACATGATACAACTTGGGAGATACCAAGAAGGATCTCCTTCCAAAATTTGTCCTTTTACCATGAGTTATCCAATTGCCTAGAATTCTGTCATCAAGGGTTCAATTCCTCTGGATTAAGATAATTGCCCTATCTTCAAACCCAACCTCTCTTCTCTCTCTCTCTTCTCTCTCTTCTCTCTCTCTCTCTCTCCTAGAAGGTTTAACACACTAAGCTGTATTAATCATTAATAAGTCATCCAGGAGTATTAGTGTAACAGATCCTTCCCAAATGAAAATGAGCTGAGTAGGATCTGATGAGAAGGGAAGGGATAAGGGACAGGAATGTGTGGGGAAGTAGATCCAAAGTACTAGCGCTGGGTAGGGAAGCAGATCCAAAGTACTAGCGCTGGGTAGGGAAGCAGATCCAAAGTACTAGCGCTGGGTAGGGAAGCAGATCCAAAGTACTAGCGCTGGGTAGGGAAGCAGATCCAAAGTACTAGCGCTGGGTAGGGAAGCACAATGACAAGGCAGGGAGAAGGATGCTGAGAGCCAAAGCATTTCCCCCCACCCCCCTTTTCTGTGGTTTTTTTTTCTTTCTTCTTTGTTGGGCTCTTAAAACATGGGCAGGAACCAGTCTATTTATGACCTGGAACCCACGAGGTGTGAAAATATAGGCTCATAAGCCCCAAACCTAATCTCACAACCATCCGACTATATCCAGAGATTTGAAAAATCAAAAAGGACCTCAGATCATTCCACTCCTCACCCCCATGACTTTACAGATGAAGAAATCCAAGCCAAAAGGCATCAGGTGACTTGCCTAGGGTCTCAACAAGTCCAGACCAGATCTTGGACTATCTTTCCAGGAAGAACAACTCATTATGCTCATTACAATTACCACATAGCCTTATGTAAACAAAAAAGAAAAGAAAAATGGCACTGAGTTTAGAAGTTGAAATAGGTTCTCCATTCAGATTAACCACAAACCAGATCTTAAGTGTGTGTGTGTGTGTGTGTGTGTGTGTGTGTGTGTGTGTTTAATCAAAAGTAACTCAAAATCAGTTTGTATCCATTGCACTTAACAAACCACATTACCAAATAAACCAAAAATTAAACTAAAGAATATTTTCGTGCCCCAATGATTGATGAAGGCATGTAATTTCAAATACGATGCTTCCTAATTTGAGATCTATAATAGGCGGCTTGGGGTTCCAAGAGGGTTTTCTGGGAAACCGAAGCCACGCTCACCTTCTTCCCCCGCATGCCCAGACGCCTCTGGACCTCTCCTACAAAGAGGAAACGCGATGGTAGCGGCGGGCAGCTGGCTGAGTAGAATCAGAAGCGTAAACATAGTCCAGCAACGGTCAAACAAACTAAAACAGAAACAGAAAGTCACGTCAGAAAAGCCCCTGGCTCAGCATTGTTTCTGGAGGACCTGAGTCACGGACCTGTTGTGCTCAGAGCCACGGGACAATTGTGCCCCGCGCGCGGTTTCGGTCACCCGGGTCCAATCCGCGCCCTGACAGCGGCCGCGAAAGTGCCCGGG